GATGTACCACAGTTTATTTATTCACCCATTGAAGAGAATTTGCGTAGCTTCCAGGTCTGGCTATTACAGATAAAGCTGCTGTAAGAACTCATGTACAAGTTTCTGCTTGAAAATAAGTCTTTACTTCTCTGGGATAAATACCCAAGGGTGCAATTGCTGAGTTGTATGGTAAGTTCCTTTTCAGTTTTAAAAGGAATTTTCAAACCATTTTCCAGAGTGGCTGTACCATTTTACATTTCTATTAGCAATGTACGAATGATCCAATTTCTCTGCATCCTGGTCAGCATTTGGTATTGTCATTATTTTTTATTTTAGCCATTTATCAGATCTTATCAATATTTTGTTAGATTTATACCCCAGTAAGTATTTAATTTTCTTTGGAGCATTTGCAAACGGTAATGTGTTTTTAATTTCAGTTTCCACATGTTCATTCATAGTGTATAGAAATGTAATTGATTTTTGTGTGTTAATCTTGTATCCTGCAACCTGTGTACACTCACTTAATAGTTCTATGAGTTTTTTGGTTAGATTTCTTGGGATTTCTGTGTAGACAGTCATGTTGTCTGCAAATAGAGATAGTTGTATTGCTGTAGGATTTTTCTAGAGGTTTCCCTGTATTTCTGTACTGAGAGATTTTTTGGTATCATGAATGGGTGAATTTTGTCAAATGCTCTTTTTGCATCGATCAATAGGATCCTGCAGTTTTTCTTTTCTCACTTGTTGGTGTGGTGGATTAAATGGATTGATTTTTGAATATTGAACCAGCCTGGCTTACCTGGAATACATCCTGCTTGGTCATGAGATTTTTTTCTTTTTAGATATTGTTGGATGGTCCTCTGTTTTTTACTCACCCTGATATTTACTCTGACAAATGCAGAATCCAGAATGGAGCCTTTTTATAAATGAGCTCAACCATATGCCATAGCTGCTTTCTTGGTACAAGGGAATTATTGCCTCCGGCCCGATTCCCAGCCGCTATGGTGCTACATGAAGGCAGCAATGTCAGTATTATGTATGTTTGGGCTGGATAATTCTTTGTTGTAGGGACTGTCCTGTGCATTGTAGCATGTTGAGCAGCATCCCTGGTCTCTACCCACTAGATGCCAGGTGCACCCCACCAGTTGTGACAACCAAAAGTCCCTCCAGACATTGCTAAACGTCCCCTTGTGTGTGTGTGTGTGGGGGGGGGGGTGGTATGGAAATTGCCCCCTCTGCCATTGAGAGGTTCTGTCTTAATACGTTTAGTCCCTACCTACCCCTAGCTGGGGGGATGTCTTTTTATCTTGGCCACGGAACAGAGGTGAGTGTGTGGTTACGGATACTATGAAAAGGTCTGCCTTTTTAATAGTAGCGATAAAATATCTATCATCTCCTGAGCATTTATTATTCCAACTCTGCTAAGCATTCTGCCTGTATTATCTCCCTTAGTACTCAGATCCAGGGAGAGAAGGTGCTGGTAATATCCCCACTTTTCAAACTGAGACATAAAAAGTTAAATAACTTGCCCAAGATGACACGTTTTCTCAGTGGTGGAGCCACGTCTGTCTGACTCCAGCCTCGAGTCTTTGCCCTGAGGTCTGCTTCCCTGCTGCTGGCTCTGTCGCTCCTGCCCTCTCAGCCCTCAGTGGACACAGAACATTTCCAGCCCCCGTCTGGGCGCCTAAGTCCTCCCACATTCCAGCCTAGCCCATCGGAACTACCCCTCCTTGTTCAAATACTCAAAACATGTATGCCTTCTCTTTAGGCTGTTCTCTTAGGCTAGCTGGCCCTTCTCTGTGCTAAATCTGAAGCTCAACTTTAAGACCCAGCTCAGATGGCTGCTTCTCTCTAGAACCTTCCCCAGCCTTGTCGGTCAGAATTTATAGCTCCCTCCCTAGCAACGACGTGACATCACTTCTCTGGTTAGCCTCATGGCTTCTGATGCTAGAGAGATGTGACTCCTTGGCCACTTTCCCTAGATCATGAGTTACTTGAGGCGTTGATCAGATCAGACTTGACCTCCCAGTGCCAGTCCGTGGGGCTGGTCATGTGTCTGGAATGGGTTGGTTTCTAAATTCACTGCAGCTTCTTCCAGTTGGGAGTGATGCCTGGCCTGTAAGGTGCTGTCACTCTATATATTTTGAATTTGGTATCAATCAAACCAAGCACTTTCCTTGGTTGGACCCATAGATTTGTTGAGGAACCTTGAGAAAATTCTAAAGGCTCGTCTTTCCCAGCCCAGTCCCTGAGGGAGTTCCCGCTCTTCGCTCGGTGGGACAGCCTGTGCCTCTCCTGATCATGCAGCTGGCAGAGGCCGCCTGAGAGCTTCTGGGCTGCCCTGAGATGCTGCTGCCCGGGCTGTTCTTCAGCACGTGGGCCCAGCTCCCTTGCAGGTTGGCATTTCACCAGTTCGTCATGTGGTACAGGAGGGTGGGTCAGCCATTCTCTGCTGAACTAGCCGTGGGCCCGGAGCAAGCCACAACATATCTGAAAACTTTCGTGCTATATCTTTTTTCCCCCCTCTGTTTTTTAGACTCTCCATAATCTTCAGCCCAAAAGAGAGTAGTTTTCCTTCCAAGGCCTTTGGCTTTGCTGGTCTTCCACCGTAGAGACTCACTTTTGGGGGTTCTAGGGGTGGCTTCAGTCCTCCCAACAAGACCTCACATGCCTCCCTCCAGAGCACAGCTCCGATTTCTGCAAGATACACCTGCCTTCTCTATAAGGTCGTGAAAAGCCCCACGTGAGGGTGCCGTTGCTCAGGCCCGCCCTCCCTCCACCGCCACCCCAAGGAGCAGTCTCACTATTCTTTTGCCATCGTCCCGGCGGATTCCAGCTGCCCTTCCTCACGGGCCGTGGTCCTAAGTCCTCGCCCCTCAGCCCTGTCCTGGCTGCCCTCTTCCAGCAATGCTCAAGGTTGCCCTGTCGCTCTTAAGGTCCAGCCTCAGAACTGGATGCCGGATTACAGGAGTGGCCTGGCGTTGAGCCCCAGCGCTGGGCCAACCCACCTCCCCAGATCTGGACGCTCTGGTTCTGTTAACGCCACCCAGAATTATACTGATGTTCTAGGCCTCCGAACTCAGCTGGGTCATGAGACTGAAGCCTCTCAGTCATTCTCGCTGCTGTTCCTCAGTCCTCTGATGTCCTGTATCTGTCATTTGTTTCGTGAACCCAAGTGTCAGGCACAGAGCTGGAGTCAGGCAGCCCTGCCCTGAATCCTGTTGCTCGAACTGAGTGTCTTTGCTTTAAGTCTGTAACATAAGTTGCAAGCCAGTTAATTTCTGTGTGCCTCTGTTCCTCCATCTGTAGAATGGAGGTGACAGCACTTAGCTCCTGGGGTTTTGTGAGGATCAGATGAGGTAAGATATGCCAAGGCCTGCTCAGCAGCTGTCATGCAGCAAGTGCCAGTAAAAGGTGGTAGTGAGATGCTTATGGTGGACTGTAGAAACGCCCAGCCCAGAAGTCAGGAGACCTGGGCTCTGCCTTTCTCTGCCATCATTCTGCTCTTTCAGGTTCAGGACATTTGGAATCACAGCCCCAGGGCCTTGAGATGGGAGAATTCTCCTGGAAACCTTCAGGGCTTCAGTGGCTCAGTAGGCTGGGTCTTGATCCCAGAGAGCCCTCTGGTGGCTGATCCATGAAGGTGCAGGCTCAGGAGAACAAGGGAAGGGGCCCTGGTGGGCAGGTGGACTGTGGGGACAGAGGCTCCCGCATCCAGAGGTCTCCCATCTAGAAGTGATGTTATAGGGCGATCCTGAGGCTGGGGGTAGAACCTGAATGTGGGTCTCACCTCTGGGACGTTCCAGCTGTGAGACTTCGGACAAACCCCTTCTCCTCTCTGGGCCTTGGTGTGAGGACGTGGGGAATGAAGATGGACTAAATCAGTGTTTCCCAAAGATGCTTTAGGGGACCTCTGGATAGTCATTTTTAAAATCTGACTGCTTATGTATTTTCATGTGTGCTAGCAAAAATAGTAACTGTCAAATCCTTTAGTGTATGGATATTATCATTTTAAGGTGAGTAAAAAATACTTAAAAAAATCTGGAAGAAAAATATTAAGTAAATAATAGTGCAGGTGGTATTCCATCAGGGCAAAAATCATGAAAATGGTAAGCATGACAACAGAAATTTGGGCAACACTGGACTAGATTATTTGTGGTTTCCTGCTCAGTTGTGATAAATTAATCCTATCTTTATATTACCTGGTGTTATTTCCTACATGGTGGTCACCACTGATTGTTTATGCTGCTATAAGCTCTTCGTGTTTATTCCCCAGAATGGTATTACGAGGGAGCTATTATTTACTGTCTCCATTTTACTGAGAGACAGAGGCCAACTGACACCTGCCCGAGGCCACGTTAGGGAGTGGCAGAGCGGGATCAGGGCTGAGCCCCCACCCAGGGCCAGTCTGCTGTGGTGCCTCCCACGGATGTGCCTTCTCTGCCCCACCGCTGTGGGAGCCCGATGGCAGGGACTGGGCTGCCCAGTCCTGGTGTCACCTGCAAGGTCTGCCATGACGATGGTTGCCCGGTGATGCTCACTCACATCCAGCCGCGCCACAGGGCGAGCTGTGGAGCAGTGGCCACGGCCATGGGCTGGCTCTGGGCATCAGGGGGCTGGCTTCCCAAGGCCTGTGACAATAAGTGCCTGCTCCCTGACCAGTGTGATGCGTTGCAAAGAGTCCTGGCCGGCGGTCAGCAGTTCTAAAGTCTTGTCCTGGGCCTTTCACTAACCTGCTGGTTAACAGACTTATCTACTAATTGCAGACAATTGTAGCAGAGTTGGAGGCATTTTTTCCAAATGGTGTCCTGGGCCCCACTCCCAGAGGGTCTGACCTTGTACGTCTGGGGTAGGGCTCCGGGATCTGACTTTAGCCATCTTGCTAGTTGTGGGAATCAGAGGCCTTGATGACCTCCTGGGTCCCTTCCAGTCTCCAAGGTCCATGAGCCTCAGCGTGGAAGGGCCTGGAGGCCTTCATGCCCTGCCCCTGACTCAACTGCAAACGGGCCAAGTGACACAGAAAATAACAGTAAAAAAGATATTTTATTGTTAAAAAAAAAACAAATGACCAATGAAACCATGCATCCCGTCACGCGTGCTCACAGTCACACACACAGCCACGCACCACCCACACAAATTCGCTCTCACCCACACAGATCCCTCTCCCTGTCTGCAGCACCCCTGTGGGTAGGAGTCTCTATTGCTCTTCCTTTGACTTTGTCTCCAGAAACAGCACACGTGAAAAGTCACTGGACCAGAAAGAGGGATTGGCAGGGGAGGGAGTGGCAAGGCTACCAGAATTCTCAGGTCCCTGCCACTCCTGGCTACATACACACTGCACATGTGTACACACGTACTATACATGGGTGCCCACATGTGCAGACACGCGCCCGCATTGACCCTCCATGCGTAGGGTTGAGTCACTGCAGGTAACACTTATGTTGGCAGGCATGTGAAACGAGGGGCAGGAAAGGGCAAGGGGTCCAGCCTGGACACTCTGATGTCCAGCCCCCTGCCTCCACCCTGTCCTGAAACGAAGTCTTAGTTCCTTGTGTCTAGGGAAGAAAAATCCCTTTGGGACAACTCATCCTGACAGCAAGATTGAAAAGTGCCTAAGAATTTTTTAAATGAAAATTACATCCTTCCTGCCTTTGGCCCAAAGTGCTTGAGAAACTTGGGATGAAGAACCCAGAGTTCTATGAGGTCTGAATTCTTTAGCAAAGAAGGTCCAGGGCTGCGGAATCCCGGCGGGCCCTTGCTGGTCGGAAGTCATGGACTTAAAGAGCTGGAGCAGGCTGCTCGGACTCTGGATTAGAAGAGTGGGACCAAGTGAGGCCAAGTGATGCTCCTTATGACCATTGTCACCTTGTTCACTATCTTATCCCTGATGCCTGCCACAGTGTCTGACATGGAGCAGACACTGCAGTGAATGTATAAATGAAGTGGGTGCACAGTGACCTTTGGTACCCATTCACCTGCTGCTCACCTCTCAGCCCCTAGGACACCCTGTGGCCCTCAGGGTCAGGTGACCCTGGACCTCATGTCTATAGCAGGTGTCGTGGTTGCCAGTCAGGCACGAACCTGCCTCTGCCTCCAGAATGGAGCTGCAGGCAGGTATACACATGCACCCTGATGGAGCTTATCCAGTCCTTTGGGCCCTGCCTCCCTGGGGGCTGAGAGATGGCAAATCAGTGACATACTGCCTCTTGCCCCTCTCAGAGTCAGTTTTTCCTGGCTTTCCAGGGTAACTGCTCTGTGCATCCCTTTTCTGTTGGGGGCCCTAGTGCTGTTTCTAAAGCTCTACCCTCAGCTTCCCTCCATCGTCAGGGACTAGCTGGGGGTCTGGAAGAGCACATTTCAAGGTATGGCAGCCTGGACTGGGTATGGGGGCTCCCCACCCCCACTTTCCCAGCCATGTTCAACTCACTCCCTCTAAGACAGGAGGAAGGGGCCAAGCCCTTGGCCTCCCACCTGCCTTCCTCTGAGGACAGCTAGAACATGACCTCCTCACAGCTCCCGTAATCACTCTCCACCATGTCAGAGCCCTCATAGTTGGGGGGTGCTTGGGGCTGGCCCCGGCCTGTGGGAATCCCACCCCCTACCTCACAGTCGGCATAAGAGGGCCCGGCCCGGCTGAGGCGCATGCTCACCCCCTTGGAGCCCCCCTCTGCTAGGCAGGGCCCTCCCCCTCCCTGCCGGAACTGTGAGTGGTAGTAGCTAATGGCTGTGTACTCGTTGAGACAGGGGGCCAGCAGGTGCTCCCGGGGACTAGGGGCCCGTGGGGGCATCAAATCTTCCAGGTTTTGGTTGCTGTAACGGGGTGGGAGGGGTGCCCGCTTGTTTTCCATCTCCAGTGGGAAGGGGAAGCCCCCATAGAGGCCAGTGGGGTCCGGCATCACAGCTGGGGTCTGGTGGCGGTGAGGTGAGGGTGGCAGAGGGCCTGGGGCCACGTCAGGGTGGGGATATTCCCAGCATTCCTTCCTGGAGTAAGTAGGGGGCCAGACCGCGACTCCGCCTGGGTACACTGAAAGGTAACAGCAAGATAGGGTGAGCTCTGAGTTTCCCTGGCAAAGGTTCCAGCTGGCCTGATAGCTACAATCTATAACTTAGCATGTAGTGGAGACGGCCCAAGGAGTGGGTCAATATGTGGCTCATCTATGCGTGTTGTCTCTGGCAGCTTAGGTTGATAGCTAGAATCCAATGGGGTCAAATTCAAGTCCAGTGGTTCAACGCAAAGTCAGCCCATCTTGGAAATCTACCTCTGATCCGAGGGTCAGTGAACAAGGGAATAATATGGATGTCTCCAGTAGCTACTGGTTGAGTTTTGTCTCCTTAATTGAAGGAAACAGACACACAGTTTGGAGCTCGATGCATGATGGCATATACCATAGAGGGCGATTAAATGAGATGTGGCTTGGAAGATTGGAGACTAGGCATCTTTGGTCCTAGCTGTGTTGCTGCTACTGAATAGTTGGGTGAGTTAGAACAAGTCACTGTCTTTATGGGCCCCAGTTACGCTATCGGCAAAAAGTTAATGAAAATATCTGTTTTAACTATTGGTGAATAAGCCAGAAAATACAAATTGTTTACAAATTCACCTCCTTTTGAGCCAAAGATTGTGGGGGTGGTGAAGGTCCCTCCTCTAGGCCAGCCAGGTCTGGCCCAAGGCTGCTGCCGTTCCAGATTGGGTGGACTACTGCTTCTTTTTCCCTTCCCAGAAAAGCCCAAAGCCCCTTTTCACTCCAGGGATCCTACCCACCCCTATCCAGGGTTTATAGGTTTCTGCCATGGACATCAATCCTAAGAAATGACTTGGAATTTAGAGGTGTGGGTCCTGGTGCAGAGGAATACGCCACAGACTCTGAGTCCAGAGACCTGGCATCTGTTCCAGTCCACTAATACACTGTGACCTTGAACACATCCCTTCATATCCCATACCAAGGGATTGGACTGGATGGTGGCCCAAAACCCTTGTATCTCAGATAATGGAGTGTTTAGGTCTACCACCCCTTTCCATCAATGCCAGAAGCTAAAGGCCTCTGGTTATACTCACCCATATCCTCGCCTGACCAGGTCCTCTTAATGATGGACTCATTGTCAGAGTGGGAGGGGACCACAGCTGGCGGGAGTCTCGGAGGCACACTGCAGACCACTGGCCGCTGCTTAGAGCTGGGTCCAAAAGTGACAAGTTCGTTGGGAACTGAGGTCTTGCTGGGCTCCAGTTGGTTCACGTTGTCACAGGAGCTGGTGCTCAGGGGGTTGAGCTCGATGGCAGGCATGGCTTGGGTATCAACACCAACACTCCTGGCCAGGAGGTCTGGGTCCTCCATGGCCACAGGCTTGTGGGACTTGCAACGGCGACAGTAGAAGAGAAGCCCAGCAGTGCATACAGTGATCAACAGTAGGGCAAATATGATGATCAGAATCTCCTGCTGCCCCCAGTCTCCCCTTTTGATCTCAGGGGTGACTAGGCAGTGTCCTTCTGAGCAGCCCCTGGCCTCCATTTCACACCTGCAGAGACAGAGAAGTAGTCAGGGGCAGAATCACTGTACTGCCCTTTCCATGTCCCATCTTACAAAGATCTATGGGATGGAGACCCCTGCACTCAAGCCTACCCTTTCCAATTTTTCACCAAAAAAATAAAGATAATTATCAAACATAACGACATACCAACTTCAGAACTTTCCATCCTCCACCAGTAAGGGATGGGACTCAGCTACACCTTCCTTCATGACCGCTTGGATCCGGGCTCTGGGCACATCCATTATTTTTCACCCATAAGATCTAGGCATTGGATATATTCTCCACCAATGAGGTCAGATTTCCAACTGTATACTGTAGTAGAGGCAGCTGACATACCCAGCTGTCCTCTAGCAATAATGTCAGGGTCCCAGATACAAGTCAACAGTCACCCAGCAATGGCCACCAGGCACCAGTGTTATCCGCTATTCTCCACCAGAAGGCCACAGAAACACAGCGTGGCCCTGCACAGACCTTATATCGGGCAACTTCCTCAGAGAGAGCACCTGGAGCCCTGTGACCTCTCAGGTCATCTTTGGCTTGTCATTCCATGCTGGAAGGCTCCTAGGAGACTTCCATGGCCAGCTTTATCCACTTTTGAGGGATATTGGGGCCAGGCTCCCTCCATCCCACTTGAGTCCAAAACATCTCCCAGGGCCTGAAATTTCACCACCACCAGCTTGTCCTTTTGTGTTTAACACTGTCCTCCCCAAGCTCCTCTTTTAAAATGCAAACGCCACTTTCAGCCAGGAAGGCTCCTCCCATCACGTCTACCATCTACCGAATAGGGAGCATGCCCCATTGCAGAGCAGGAAGCGAGGTGGGGCCGCAATGCTAGTTGCCGGGAGAAAGGACTTGGGTCATAAACATATGGGGGAATCTTGGGTAAGCCCTTTCCTTCCCCGGGCCTCAGTTTCTCCATCTGTAAAATGAATGGGTGGACTGTATCATTGGCTCTCTTATGTACATGCTGACAGCAAGGGGATCCCTTGGCAGCTTGTAAAAAATAGAATCTCAGGCCTCATTTCTTGGAGATTCCCATTTAGTTGGTCTAGGAATCTATATTTTTTGCCAGTCTCCCTTATGATTCTTTTTTAAAGGCTCCCAAGTTGGGGAGCCATAAAACCAGCTAATTTCCAAAGCCTCTTTGCCTCTCGGATTCTAGGAATGATTTGCCTTCCCTTGCAACCCACCCCAAGCCAGCATAATATGAGGCACACGTAGCTTGGCAGTGGGGTTCGAGACCCACAGCAGTGTCTGTACCAAGTGGAGTCATTGTTCCTAGGCTGCTTTCTGAGAAGTCATGAGCCAGAGCAAGAGAATAAGTTTAGCTATGTTCAGACTTCAGCAAAGATCAGAACCAGCTGAGAAGCTGGTTAGAAGTGCAGATTCCTGGGCCCCAGCCCAGTGAGTCTGATTCAGCAGGGTCAGACTAGGCCTTGGGAAATCTGTCTTTTTAACAAGCACCTCCCCCTCCCAGAGTGTTCTGATTCAGGCGATCGAAGGGAGAAGCCTTGACACATGGAAAACAGCAGGGAAACCAGGTCCGTGGAGCGCTCAGCCCCTGGGCTCCCACTGGCTTCTCTAGAGCTCCGAGTGCAGAGGTCATTCTTAATGATGCCAAATCCAGAGTGAGGAGCCAATGGCAGGTGGCCTCTCCGGTGCTTACCTGTCTCCCGTGTAAGGGTGAGGGCAGTTACAGGAGGCTCCTTCAGGGGAAGAGATGCAAGTCCCACCCTCCAGGCAGGGTGTCGAAGTGCAGTTCTCCCTTCTTTGTTCACAGTGCTTCCCAGAGAATTGTGGGGGACACTGGCACACGTAGCCTGGGAGGAGGGGAAGGGAGGTGAGAGAGCGCACTGGCCTAGCAGTCAGGTAGCCCAGGCTGAGAGCCGTCCAGGATGGAGGGGAGACCTTGGTGCATTTGCAGTCCATGCGTTCATGTTTAGTTATTGAGTGCCTTCCTCTGCAATGAACACCAGGTTGGGCGCTGGTGCCCTGCTGGGCAAGACTTGATCCTGCCCTCAAACAACTTACAGGCGTCTAAAGAATAATAATGGAATATCCTCACCATCATCCCAGACAACACTTATTCAGTGGTAGTCATTGTCCTAAGAATCTTCATATATGAGCTCATTTGATCCTCATGACAACTCTGAGATTGGTTACTATTATTATCCTCATCTGGGGACAGGTTGATGGCAGGTGAGGAAATGAGGCACAGAGAATGTATGACATTTGCTCAAGGTCACACAGCTAGTAAGTGACAAAATTGGGATTCAAACCTGGACAGTTATATATAATATCAGTATGTTACTAATTATCATAAAAATTAGTCTTATTAAAGGGATGTGTTGCCGACAGGGGACCGGCCTAGTCTAGGAGGCAGCTGGCACAGCAGAGAAGGTGAGAGATGACAGGGGCTCGGGTCAGAGTGATGGCGGTGGGGATAGAGAAGGGATGGACTCCTTGGATATTTGAAGGTAGAAATGACAGTACTATTAGCCAGACAAAAATTAGGAAATGAGACAATGCCAGGTGTTGACATGGATGTAGGTACATAGAAACCTCATGCACTGCTGGTGGAAGTACTGGCTGCTGTGGCCAGGCTGGAGAGCAATTTGACCCTATTTAGTCAAAATAATTGTTTGCATGCTCTGGGTATGTGAATTCCATCCCTGGTAGGGGTGTATGTGTGTGTGTGAAGAAGGTCCTCACACCTTCTGGAGACATGAGTTTACAAGATGACATGTCTGAGGAAGCCACCAGGGTGTTCATTGCTGAGAGAGTGGAGAGGGAAATGTGAGTGCATGCACGCCTTGGAGTACTGAGCTGCAATTAAAGCAACGAATAAGAATACTTGTGGCAACATGGATGGGAAATTGTGAAAAATGATATACTACTTACATAAATTAGAAGTTTGAGCGTGTGGAAAACTGTAATAGACATTTTGCAAGAATTCATTTAAAGACTTTAAATGTTAGGGCTGGGGAAGGAAGAAGGCAGTGGAGTGGAGATTAAAGGGAAATAAGAAAGAGAAACTTTGCAGGGACCAATGATGACACTAAGATGTATGATGAACTCAACCGTCTGCCCCAGAGGTCCCCATGTGTGCCCTTCCCCCATCCGAAAAAAATAGAAAGCAAGGCAGCTCTTGTTGAGAGAGAAGGAAGACTCCTGGCTTCCCATAGTGTAAACCTAATGGATCCCAACTCATATGTCACCAGACAGTAGGGAGAAGATTGGAACATTTGGGATCAGGAGGGAGGAGTGCTCCCCTGAGATCCCCGAATATGCCTCTCTTACTTAATAGCCATGTGACCTTGGGTGAGTTCCTTTACCTCTCTGGGTGTCGCTTACGTAGCCTAGCAGTTTCCTGAGCGGTAAAATGGAGCCATTGATGGCTCTTTTCCCTCCCACCCTCCTTCCTTCATGGGGCTGTGGTGAAGGAGTATGCTTTGTAAACTCTGCAGTGGTATGTGATTGCTAATTCAACATGTCGGAGCTCTCTGAGGAGCCTTGTGGGATCAGCCGTGGGGTTGGCCCCAGCCCTTACCTGCCCCGTGGGTGTGTGAGCACTTCCCACCATTGAGACACGGGTTCTGGCTGCACTCCTCACTGTGGAAGCAGCAGTGGGTGAGGGCCTGCCTCTCCAGTAAGCCTACCGCCTTCTTGCCATGGGCCAGCAGCTCCAGTGCCTCTCTGTTGATCACAACAGCATCCAGGCAGCCTTCAAAGCCCCGGGAGACCTTTGGGGAAGAATGCAAGAGGACACGGCCTCCCAGAAAGAGGTCTCTCTCAGGCCTCCGACCCCGGCAGGTCTCTGGCAGCACAAGGGTGGCGTTGCCTGCGCTGTCAACCAAGAGGCGGATGGCAGTGTCCATCTCCTCCAGCAGAATGGTGTGCCACTGTTGGTCATTCACATGGAGCCAGGAGGAAAGATTTCCGTAGAAACCACTGGGGCAGCCGTATTCCAGCCAGAGCACTCCATCGACCAGCTGCAAAGAAAGCCCAGATGCCGTCAGCAAAGCCAAGAAGTCCTTATTCAAATCACCGCCCATAGGCTGCAGTGCAAAGAATGTTGGTCATGTTTTCAGGGGTGGGAGGGGTAATGTTTGGTGGTTTTCAAGGCTGTTTTACACGTTGCATTTGTGAAGCATAAAAGCCCTTCAAGTGTTCTTCTGTCCATGGCCTCATTTGTCCATGGGATGGTCTGGGCAGGGATGACATCTCCATTTCACAGATGAGAAAACTGAGGCCCAGAGGTGCCTCGCAGATCAAGACCGCATCTTTTGGATTCTTCTTCACAGGCTTCTCCAACATTCTACACTCCCAACCGTGTGCCTTCAAGGAGGTTTTCAAAAGACCTCCCTCTCCCTCCTTCTTTTATTTATTTATTTTTTGAGGAAGATTAGCCCTGAGCTAACTACTGCCAATCCTCCACTTTTTGCTGAGGAAGGCTGGCCCTAAGCTAACATCCGTACCCATCTTCCTCAATTTTATGTGGGACACCTACCACAGCGTGGCGTGCCAAGCGGTGCCATGTCTGCACCTGGGATCCGAACCAGCGAACCCTGGGCCGCCGAGGAGCGGAATGTGCTCACTTAACTGCTGCGCCACCGGGCTGGCCCCTCCCTCCTTCTTACTCAACAGTTCAGTGGCTCTCAAAGTGGGTCTCCAAGATCTTTTCAGGGGATCCCCCAGGGGAAACTATTTTTCGTAATAATCCTAAGACATTATTTGTCTTTTCTACTCTCATTCTCTCACAAATATACAGTGGAGATTTCTAGACACATGCTATCCCAACAGACAAAGGCAGAAGTAGATACGAGAAGGCAGCTGTCTTCTGTTAAGTCAGACATAAGAGAGATTTACAAAAATGTAAAACAATGCCACTCTTTTTTTGTATTTTGGAAAATGTAATTATTTTTTGCAAAAATACGATATTTATGTTAACATGTAACGGATTTCTTGTTGTTTTAAGTGAATCGATAAAGATTTTAACATTTCTCAGTTTTAATTTCAAATATTGAAAGTGTCAATAGCTATAACAAAACTTCCCAAGGATTTTCAATAATTTTTAAGAGTGTAAAAAAGTCTTGAAATCAAAAAGTCTGAGAACCCCTGCGTTAGAACATTTTAGTTCACCTTACCTCCAAGAAGCAGGACTACTTGGGGTCAAATATTTTTCTGATCATTCTGGGTGAGGTGGAGCTTTCTCTGGGTGAAACTGAAGATCTAGCCCAGTGTTTCTGGGAAGTTGGCCATTTGTATGCCATCTTTCAGATTTTTGCCCTGGTTGAATACTACCTATACCTTTATTGACTTAAAAAGGAAACTTAGTTTTATTTTGGAAAATAGGAAACCAATGTAACTTGCCATTAAGAAAAGAGAATGACGAAAATAAGTACAACTCAAAACATTGTCGTTAAATCGCTCCTTTCGGTTACCTAGGACACAAATCTGTTGATCCCACCAACAGATCAACAGTGTTGTCACTGTCTTTCACCTCTGTAATGTCCTCGCTCCTCTCCTTATCAGGCTTAAATTCCATAGCCAAACTCCTGTTCCTTTCTAACTTAGTGGAACTGGCTTGGCAAACCCACACATTTGGTAAAATCAGACTCTCCACCGACTCTATATGAGCATCGTGGAGCTGAACTTGGCTGGAGAAAAGCACACAGCCTTGCTTATTGGTCTCCCTCTAATTTCATGATCATGAGTCTCAAACGAGCTCTTCACGCTGCCCAACCATCATACTAGCTTCCTTTAGTCTTCTCACTCTCCCTGATGACTATTTTCATAACTTCTCTCTCCTCACACCCCTAATGTCACCCTCCTCATCCTCACTCCAGCAATCAGATAGGAACTTGCAGGCACCCTCACCATCACATCTGTCCAATCGGCGAAAGCCTCTCTCTCCATTATGCACTAGATCCCACCCCCCGAAGGATGAGGGTCCACTGACTCCTTTCTCTTTCCTGCGTCTTTGTTCCTTCTCTACTGGATCAACCCAATCATCATGCAAACATGTTGTCATTGCTCTAATCTAAAAAAACAAAAGTTGTCTAGAACCTACTCCTCCTGCCAGATATCACTTTCTTTCTTTGCTCCTCCTTTGCAGCAAAATTCCACCCCCACCCACTATGACACTGAAACCACTGGTGTTAGGGTATTCAGTGACTTCTGTGTTGCCAAATCAATGATTGATATCACTTCCCATCTTGCTTGACCTCTCAGCAGCATATTGCCCAGCGGGTCACTCCTTCCTTCTTGATAGGCTTCCCAGATGCAACATTTGGTTTTCTTCCAATGTCACTGGTTGTTCCTCTTCAGTCTCGTTTGTTGGAGCCTTCTCTTCCCCTGATGTCTCAATGTTGGAGTGTCTCAAGGATGAACCCTTGGTCTGCTCTCTTTTCAATCTACATTCCTTGGTGATCTCCCAGTCTCACGGCTTTCAGTTCTATGTATATGCTGAAGACTCCAGATCTTCATCTCCAGCCCAGGCCTTCCTCACAAATGCTAGACTTGTTTATCCAGCTCCACTTGGAGGTCTAATAGGCATCTCAAACTTACATGTCCAAAACTGAACTCTTGACCTTCCCCCCAAAACCTGCTTTACCCATATCCTTCCCCAGGTCTGTTGGTAGCAACTCCATTACTTCTAGTTGCTCAGGCCAAAATGTTACTCCCAGCCCTCGTTCAATTCATCAGGAAATCCTGTTGACTTTACCTTCAAAATTGATCCAGAATCTGACATCTTCTTCCCAGTTGTACTGTGGTTAACCTGGTCTAAACTGCCATCATCTCTCACCTGAATTATTGGAACAGTCTTTTGGTTGGGTCTCTCTGCTACTATTCTTGTTCGTCTAAAGTCTATTCTCAAGCCAGCAGCCATGATGACCCTTTTTGCATATGTCATATCATGCCAATTCACTGAGGAACCTTCTAATGCCCTTCATTTTGCTCAGAATAAAAGCCAACGTCCTTAAATAGCCTATGAGATCATTATAGATATGCCCCCATTCCATTATATCTCCGACCTCGACCCCTACTACTACTGTTCCCCTTGCTCACTTCACTCAAGCCATATAGACCTCTGGGTTGGTCCTTAAACATGCTCAGCATTCTCCTGCTATTCCCTCTACCTAGAATACTGTTCCCCCAGATGTCTACATAGCTAACTCCCTCACCCCCTTACATTATTGTTCAGTTATCGCCTGAATGAAGCCTTCCCTGGCCACCTCATTTAAAATTGCAACTCCTAACACTCCTGATCCCCTTTAAGCGTTTCTTCTTGCTTTTTGATCATAGCACTTAGCACATTCGGACAAACTATAATGTTCTGACTTATTATGTTTATGTTTCTTGTCAGTCTGCCCTCTATAGGATGAAAGCTCGAAGAGGGGTTTTTGTCTTATTCACTGATGACACCCATGCACCTAAGACAGTGCCTGCCACATAGCGGATGCTTAATAAATATTTGTTGAATTAATTAAATTCAAACCATCTGCCAAAGACTGCTTTCTCTCTGTCAAAGTGGCAGATTGGCGTGTGTGATAGAGGTGTTAAAATCGGGCGGGCAAACTTAGACTTTCTAGATGACGTAATCAGGTCTGAAAGACCATTCGAAAGGAAATCATTTTTCTTCCATGCGATTCCATGTAACTTAATGCTGGCTTTGTCATCTTGAGCACCCCCATGGTAGCCAGCCTCCCACCCCTCTGGGGAAACACTGGTCTATTAGTCAGCACAAGTGACAAAACCATCGGGGCCCAGGTGGCCTCAGTCATCTCTCTTTCTGTCTTCAGAGGCTCTCTTATCCCACAGAACAGCCTGACCTCTGGTTGTCCTTGAACATATATCTCCAGGTAGGGTGGCTGTGGCGATCAGGACTAGAAAGTCTCGTGTCCTGATCCAACAGTCACGGCCAGCATCCCTGAAAACCACGCAGGGATTTCTTTGCAGAAATGGCCTTCTTGGCTGTGCTCATGCTCCCCCACCTCCCCAGCGCATGCTCACAGGAAATCTCTCGGGCTGGCGGTGTCTTACCTTCACGGAGACACGCACTGTCTCATTGCTGAACAGGAGAATGGCCTGTGACTGGAGTGTTTTCAGACGGAAACGGATGTGCCAGTTCTGAGCCTCTGGGAGACTGTACCGGGCGAAGCTCTGCCCGCTGAACCTCACGGCAGTACCTGTGACAGCAACCAGAGGTGTCACCTGCGCGTGAAGTGGTCTCCATAGACCCCTCCAACTGACGGTCCCATTCAGCCCTTGGGGGGCTATCACCCTGCATACCTTCCTTTGGCCCCGGGGACCCCAGCCTTGGCTCCCACCTGGGTCGGGAACTATGTGCTCAAACTATTAAGAAAGCAAGAATCAGGCCAGAAAAGTAATCAATCAAATGTGTGGAAATCAGAATTTCCATCCTACGTAGTTTCCACGTTACTTCTGACATCACTTGGGGAAGAAGGAGGTAGAATTGGAGAGGATTTAGCATATACGTCTGATCTCAGGAACACCACAAGGGATTTTTCCCTCAAGATATCTCTATCACCAGGAGTATAATCAGTTGAGTAAGTACTTCCCAAATGAAATGCTTCTGAGAGGTCAAGGGACACTCTGTGATACAGGAAGGGGGCATGAGAGATCGTGTGGTCAAAACTTCTGTAAAGCCCCGTGTGCTCCATCCCCCCGAGGCAATTGCTAATGCGCAGTTGCATAAGGAGTCTTCACCTCAACTTGAGTTTCTCAAGTTTATCTGACAATGGGACCCTCTTATGTGACCACCTATGCACCTATGCCCTTGGAAATAGCAATCTGTGGGACCCCCTTTGGGAAATGCTGTGTTATATCAAGTACTGCCCTCCCCAGATTGTTAAAGATGCACCCTCCTGAGAAGTGAACTGAGCTCTTAAATCCCTAAAACTTCTGTGTGAATAAGCTTATAGTTGTCAAGGGAAGGATGAGTGGTACAGGCCCCAGATAGCTAGGGAAGAGGAATAGTTGAGGAGAGAGAACAAAGGCCAAAAGGAGGAGAAGGAAGGACAGATTACAAGACCCTAGGAATCTATCATTCCATAGGTCTAAAACGCTCTGATGTGGCAATTCCATGGTAGTCGGTCATTATTGGATGGGATATTGAAGATGATCTGGATCAGGAATTCCCACACCTGGCCGAATATCAGAATCAGCTGGAGAGTCTCTTAGAACACGGAATGCCAGGCTCTCCCCTCGGAGAGTACGGCTCAGTAGTTCTGGTGCCACATGGGGATCCGTGTTTTAAAAATCTCCCCACGATGGATGTGCTGACTGGAAGAGAGCCCGAAGGAGGTTTCTGAGATGCTGGTCATTTTCTGATCCTTGATCTAGGTGCTGGTTACACCGGTGTGTTTGGTGTGAAAATTCACTTATGACACACAGATCTTTCTGTATGTCCTATTTCACTAAAAGGTTAAACAAACCCTCCCCAAGTGATGCTCATGCTCCGTGAGCCAGCCTAGCTAGTGCATCTCAAAGTGCACCCCTGGACCACCTGCTTCAGAATTGCCTGAGGTGCTGGTGAAAAATGCCAATTCTGGCTTCACCCAAGACCTTCTAAACAAAACACTCTGAAGGTGACACTCAAGAGCAGCTCTCTTTAAAAACACACTCCCCAGGTGATTTTGCACAATCTTCACTTTAGAACCTCTGCCGTCTGATGCCAGGTGGTCAAGAGAGAACCTTCCACCATCACAGCTTTCTCTGAAGCTGACTCTGGGGCAAGAGACACAAGAAGGGAGGCCCCCTCCCGCACCCCCGAAGAGTAGCTCACTCAGCCTACATCCAGTGGGCCCTGGAGAAAGTCCACCAGTCTTCCCAGAAAGAACTGCCCTCATGCAAACTGGGTCCACCCGCAAAGGATAGGCCAGGCCAGGCAGGGGGCGATGGTGAGCTGGAGGTGATGCCATTCTCCTTTTGCCAATGCTCCTGAGCAGATCCAGGGCATTGGTCTTAATGCCGGGGGCACTGGGGTGAGTCCTCTCAGAAAACTGAGTTCCTGAAGAGCTTGGTGAAGAACTCAGGCTTTAGAGTGGGACACACAGGTATTTAAATAACCAGCCTTTCAGTGGAGGCTGTACAGTTTCAGGCAAAGCGAGACAATACAATCCCCATATCTGAGTTGCAACTGTAAATGGAGCTAACGGCCCTGCTTTGTAGGCTGTGGTGCCAGGGAGTTTAGTAACATAAACACAGAGCCTGGCACCCAGCAGAGTCCTTATAGCAACAACTGCTACCGTGTGAATGACAGACACCACGGATGGGATGCTTATTACCGGCCAGCCAGGGGTTAAGTGCTGTTATATCCATTGAGTAATTTACTCCCCAAACCAACTCCAAAGGCAGATGATATTATTTTCATTATTTTATAAAGGAGAGACTAAAGCTAAGAGGGTTTTAATAACCCACCCAAGGTTATACAGCTATCAAGTGATAGAGCTGGGGTTTGAACCTTAGCTGTTGCCTCTAAACCTTCAGGTTATAAGCACCAGGCCAGAGTAATAACAGTAGTATTAGTAACTCGTGTTTATTGACCACATCCTATATATCAGGCACTCCTCTAAGCAAGCCTTTGCTATTTAATACTCATTTAAGTCCTACAACAGTCCAAGGGCACAGAGAAATTAAATAATTTTCCCAAGGTCACCTGGCTAATAAGTGGCAGAGCTGGGATTTGAACACAGGCAATCTGATGCCCGAGTCCATGCTCTTAGCCATGATGCTAAACTGCCTCTAATACTCTTAACTGTTATTTTCAAAATTCTAAAAAGTGGCCAGGAGTAAGGGTGCTATTCCCTGACTAGATTTTGTGAGGCCACTGCTGTCTCACGGTGGCCTGTGGCCTTTAGCCCTGTTGAAACTTCCCTTTAACTACCCCCCAGAGCCTCCTGGGATGTCCCTGCCTCGAGTTAGCCTGGCTGAGCCCACAGTGCTGTTTGTCCTGGGGTGGGCCCACTCCTCACCATTGCAGGAGCAGTTCCTCTCCAGGCGGTGCCGCGGGGTCAGGATGCTGAGCCGGGCTGTGCTGTACGTGGGCCCAACCCTGGGATCCAGGTGCACTGTCTCTTGGCACATTTGACCCTGGCAGCTTGGCCCTTGGCAGGGCACCACGGGCATGGCTGACCTCATCTGAATTCCCACCGAGTGCTCCATCTCCTTGGCTGAGCGAGTGATGATGGATGCGAGCTCCTGCAGCTTGTAGAAGGTTCCGGAATGCCCCTCAAAGACCAGGAGCACATCCACCCCAGCCATGGCCTCTGCAGGCTGGAGGCTGGCCAGGTGGATGTTGGCTCGTTTGATGTCCAGCTTGTTGCTGAGGAACCTCTGCAGGTTCCTCCAGTGGTCGCTCACCAGCTCCTCTGGGGTGAGCTGGTGGAAGCCCATCCACATGGCCTGCTGCAGAGCCTCGCGCCCCACGTGCCACACGTGGACGTGGACCCCAGCAGTGGCAGTGAAGGTCCCGTCGCTGACTGTGACGTTGAACGCATAGCGGCCCCGAGGCAGTCCTGGAGCGGCGATGATCTTGCCATCGGGCGCACCCACTGAGAAGCGCCTGTCCCGGGTCTCCCCTCCCGCCAGGCTGTAGGTCAGTGTGTCCTGGGGGTCTCGGTCTGTGGCGTGGATTTTACCCACCATGCCGCCCTGGAACTCCTCCTCCCCGGTGGTGATGAAGATCTCCAGAGGGAGGGCGGAGGGCGGGTAGCGGCTCTGCTCCATGACGTGGACCCTGACAGACGTCGAAGATGACAGAGGAGGGATGCCGCTGTCGGACACCTGTGGGCAAAATAGGCACCACCGTTACCATAGGGCTGCAGCCTCCTTGCCGAGACTCAGACTCGCTGCTTGAGGGCAGGCTCAGCATGTTGTCATGACTGAAAAAAACAATAATTCCAAAAGCTCCGAAGCTTTTGCGGAGGGAGTTACATCCACATACCACACGGTAAAATCTAACTCCACTTCCTCATGTGACCTCCCTCCAAGCCTCTTCCTAAATCTTTCCAACTACACACTCGGGCCTCCTTCCTCTTGAACTTCTCTCCTTCTAGCTCTTTCCTTAAATGAGTTATCACATGTGTCTTGGCGATTCCAGTGAGCATCCTCGTGGCCCTCTCAGCCTATGGAGATTCTCTTCGGGACTCCCCTTTACTATGCGACTGGGGTGGGGGTAGGGGTGGGCGTTTCTTCTTCACCCAGCCAGCAAATATTTATTGAGTGGCTTCGATGGGCCAGGCCCTCTGCTATGATCAGGAGAAAAGAGACAATAAATAAGTTGTTAAGTAAACAAGAAAATGTTAGACTTGGATAAAGTGCTATGGAGGAAATAAACGGAGCCATGTGACAGAGAGATCTGAAGAATGAAAGAGACCCGTTTAGATCAGGTGGGAGGGACGGTGTCTCTGAGGAGGTGACATGAGCTGAGTCCTGAGAGATGAGAAGACATGAGGAGAATAGGAGACAGACAGGGAACAGCAATTGTAAGATCCTCCGGTGGAAAGAGGGTGGTGTGCAAAACAGAAAGAGGCCACGGTGGCTGGAGGAGGGGGCAGGGCTGAGGAGCACAAGGCCGGATTTTATGCCAGAGCCACGAAAAGGCTTCAAAGGTTTTTAGCAGTGACGTGACCTGGATTAAGCAAGGAAAAGAATGTAAATTAAAAATGCATCTTCCTTTCCCCTTTCACCAAGTGCCCTGCCACGTTCTGCTCCGACTTAGGAAGGACAAAGCTTTCCACAAGGGTCTCCATACTTTTCCGCATGGTGAGATCTCGTTCACCTGAATTCCAGTGGTTTGAGTTGGTAAGACCTTTGTAAAGTTACACCTACTGCTGGGAATTGTGTATCACTCTGATGAGCTATCAAGAGCAACAACAACAATCATAGTTTATCTTTCTTATGACATAGGTACCCTTAAGTCTCCCATTTTATAAAAGATATAACTGAAGCTCAGAGAGGTCAAATAACTTGCCCAAGGTCACACACTAGGTAAGCTGAGCAGAATCTAAACTCCTACCTATGACCATAGCCTGTTTCTTTGCTGGCCTATGGTGCCTCCCAGTGAACGGAAGTGGAACTACAGGACATATGCAAGAGATGGTGATGATGCCCATGGTTACTGAGCACCTGTCCAGGCCAGGATACAGAGGTCAGGCAGCTGTTGTCACTCATCCTTTCCTAGGCAATCACATCTATGCCCTTGGTTTCGAGGACCCTCTACATTAGTCCACACCTCTCTCCTCTGAGCTACAGACTCCCATTCCCAACTCCCTACTGGACACCTCCACTTGGATGTCTCATGGGCACTTGAAAAGTAACATGTGCAAAACAGAGCCCTCATTTTACCCCATAAAGCTGTCCTTCTCCCACCCCTACAGTCTTCCCAGTCTCATAAATGGGCTCAACACCTCTCTTCCCTGGAGCAGGAACCTGGGAGTTGGCCCTGATTCTTCTCTTTTTTTCTCTCTCTCCGTATCCAATCCATCACCAACTCCTGTTTATTTCCAAGCAAAGTTTTCTCCAAATTTCTCCACTTCTGGGGCTGGCCCCATGGCCAAGTGGTTAAAGTTCTACATGCTCCACTTTGGTGGCCCAGGTTTGCAGGTTCAGTTCCCAGGCGCGGACCTACTCCACTCATCAGCCATGCTGTGGAGGCATCCCACACACAAAATAGAGGAAGATTGTCACAGATGTTAGCTCAGGGCAAATCTTCCTCAAACACACACACACAAAGAGGAAGATTGGCAATGGATGTTAGCTCAGGGCGAATCTTCGTCACCAAAAAAAAAAAAAATCTATCCACTTCTGGCACCTTTACCATCACCTCAAGGTCTCGGCACCACTATCTCCAGCTTGGACAACTTCTCATTGACCCTTGCCCCCTCCATTCTTGCCCCCTTCATTCACTCTCTCTACAGCTCCAAAATGAGCCTCTTGAGACACAAGAAGGGTCACTTCCCCGTCTGAAACCCCTCAACCACTTCTCACCGCACTTAGATTAGAGTCCAAAAGTATTTCCAAGGCTTGGAATTAGGATGACTGTACTCCCCGGTTTGCCCAGGACAGTCTTGATTTTCACCTGTTGTGGATCAATTATTACTAACTATTTTTAGTGTCTCTCTCATTCTCAAGAGGGTCACAGTTTGGTCCTCAAATATTATGGTCATCCAAGCTAGGAGTCCTCCATGATCCACCCAACCCATCTCTTCAGCTTTATTCCCACCCATACTCCCCGTGCTCTGACCACGCTGGCCTCACCTCAGGTCACTTCAGGCTCTTTGCTAACTTGGGACTTTGGCTCATCTTGTTCTTTCTGCCTGTGACACTCTTCTGCCCACTATTCACAGGGAGGGCTCCTCAGGTCTCAGCTCAACATCCCCTCCTCATGAGGACAGCCACCCATCTTCTGAATATGTGTCGTCTGTGCCTTATGAGTCTCTCAGCACTTTCTTTCTTCATCTATTTATTGTTTATCTCCATAATTAGAACCAAAAGCCCACGGGCACAGGGACCATCCCCTCCTTCCCCCTGCTCTATTACCAGCAGCTAGCATAGGGCCCGGTATATGACAGATGCTCAATAAATACTCGTTGAATGACTGATAAATGGCTGACTGACTGGATGGCTGAATGGATAAATATACCTAAGCCCAGAGCAGTTCATAGGATAGTAGAGTCCACTAGACTTGGGATTTAGGGAAGGGATTTAGGGCGAATAAAATGAGGGGGAAATGTTTGATACCATCTTGGCCACTTTCCTTAGGCAGTTCTTATATAACCCATAATAATACCATAATCCCCTACACACACACACACACATACACATATAATATATATATATATATATATATATAATAATTGACATATATATTATATATATTCCCTCATTTGGACCCCACATCAGTTCTGCGAGCTAAGTTTTTAACAGGACCTGGGGTTCAGAGAGCTGTCCTGGCCAAACTCAAGGAGGTGGAGCCAGGGTGAGGCTGGCCTGCAGGAGCTGGGCAGGGACTAAGAGCTTGGGCTCTGGGCTCAGAGTGCTTGGGTTTGAAGCATCCCGCCTCTGTCATTATTAGTAGTATGACTTTCAGCCAGTCATGTCACCTCCGGGTGCCTCGGTTGCCGCATCTGTGAGGCGGGCGTGGTACCCGTACCCGCCCGAAGGCACGTTGTGAGGATTTAAAGCAATGATGCACATGGGGCACTTCGCCCAGTGCTGGCACACAGGAAGAGCTCTGTAAGTCCTTTTTCCTAATAGTAGAATCCCTGGTAGTGCATTTGCGAGCACGTTACTGTCCCCATGGTCACCACCAGTGGCCCAACACAGCTCTCACCTCAATCTGAAGCTGATACCATTCCTGGACTCTCCTGCTCAGGCCCGCCATGGTCACCAGCCATCCATCTGGGGTCACGTGGAAGGCAGAGGCGTCGTTCCCCTTGGTGATTCGGAATGAGTAGGGGGGGCCATTCTCTGGGGAATCTGGGTCACTCAGGATTAGCTGCAGGACTTTGCTGCCAACAGGGGAGTTCTCCTGAGACCAAGAGTGACATGAAATCAAAGAGCAACGTGAGTCCCAGTCCTTCCTCTAGCATCTTTCTGGATCCCCTCATCTGAGGTAAGTCCAGGCACTCTGGCTGCTTCCAGGACATGCCTGGACCTCAAGCTGCCATTCATTCATTCTGCCTGCCTGTGAGCTAGTTGTTGACTTTGTCAATCTAGACTGGGAGCTCCCTAAGGGCAGTGCTGGGTCTTAGAAACAAAATCCACTGGGGACTGGAAGGGTCTTTAGAGTCCTCTCATCCTACAGGGAGGTGATTTGCCCAAGGTCATATCACTGATGATTCATATATATAAATTAATGAGTGCCTGGAATCCATGTGGGAACTTCGTGATTCATAGAGTCAACTGAACACCAATAAATGGTTTCCTGTTCAGAGGGCCAATGGAACACACATCCAATGAGAAAATTCAAAGATGATTAGGAATTCAGCAAAGAAAAATGGACCCCCTGGGTATTCTTCCAGTCTTTGTTCTGTAACATAGGGATTCAGTATGCTATAACACAATGGTTGTTAGTTGTCTTTTTAGCATCAAAATCTTATCTACAAACAGAATATTATGGGAAAAAATTGATAGTTTCCTATCCAAGAGACATTCTTCCCTTCCTTCTTTACAAAACTCTATTTTGTTCAGGTGTAGGGTGACAATATCCTAAGATATCCTAAGAGATGGACTATGATCGGTCTAAGTCAGCTATAATAATTAGATTTCCTATGCCAGTTTTTGGTTTAAGGGTAATCATATAATCCAATTCTGACCACTGGAGAAGTCTACCAGATGGGGGTTCTGAAAGCCTTCTTCTTTGATAAAAACAGATCCTGCAAAAGAAGTCCCCTTCTGTTTGCTTTTGAAGATGGTTAGGCAAGGATGTGATGCTGGAGCTGCAGCAGCCATTGTGTAACCATGAGGTTACATGAGGTGAGGGAATTTCAAAGAAGCTAACCCAAGGCTGTGATATCATTTTCCTGCTGAAATAACCAATTCTGGAGTAGGATTTCCTACCATCAGACCTTTTGTAATGTAAAATAATAAGTCCTTATTACTTAATAAACTTTTAGTCAGGTGATCTGTTAACTGCAGCCAAAGCCTCCTAACTCATACTCCTAAGAAACAAAATAGGTAAAAGTGGAGTGAACTGGTTGAAGCATAGCAAGACCCAGAACTCTGTCCTCCTATCTGCTTCCTCACCTCCCTCCCCGCTTATGGTCACAATTCCCCATACAATTCCAAGGCCCTCAACAAACCCCATATGCAAACCACTGGTATCGTGGAAATAGCTTGGGATCTGGAAGACTTTCTGGGTTGAAATCCCAAGTTTGCCACTTTCTAACTAGGGCACAGTTCCGCACCTGCATTTTTAAAATCTGTAAAATGGGTACTACCTACTTCACATGGCTGTGTGAGTCCCAAATGAGACAATGGATGTGCAAGTGCCTAACACAGTGCCTTATTGTTTTAAATTCCTTAACCCCCTTTCAGCACACTGTGTTGCCATTAGGGTTATCAGTGGCAAGGTCACAGCCGCTATTTGGGTAGACTGATACCCGTGGTGAGTCCCCTCCACTAGGAGGGAAACGAAGGGAGGATGGGTTCCAGATGCCTTTGGAAGCTGAAGCGTACCTGGACAGAGGTGCTGTAGTTGAGCTGGAAGAATCTCGGTGGGTTATCATTGACATCAACCACTTGGATAGCGATGTCTGTGTCCTCGTGCAGTGGCGGCCGCCCGTTGTCTGTGGCTCGGACCCTCAGGGAGTAGCTAGAAGTCTATAGCAAGAAGCCCAGTGGAGAGTTAGCAATGAGACTCCTCAGTTCTGCCCCCTAAGTCATCACTAACATTTGCATAAAAATAAGATAGAGACACTCCCCTATGCCCGCCCCCATTGCCCACCCATGGCATCTTAGGGCCCAGGTTCTGGAGTCAGGCAGAAATAGATTGGATTTCCAATTCAACCACTTACTAGCTGTGAAGTGTTGGGAAAGTGACTAAATGTCTGTGAGGATAATATCAGGACTTCCCTCCTAGGATCATTTTCAGGACCGAATGGCATGATGTATGTAAAGCACTTAGCAAGGTGCCTGGCACAGAGCGGGTGCTCCATAAATGAGGGCTTGTTATAATGAGCTAATGATCCCTGGTCAATAGTGAGAAGCTGGCCTGAGCTCCTCCAGGAACAGCTAGTGGTCACTCAGCTCTCTCCTGGCTCTAGCCTCCCATGCCACAGAGGCCCCAGGGAAAAAACAAGTGGGAGATGTTGAGGACAGGTCTGAAGAAGGGTCAGGATGGAGCATCGACCATGATTCATCCTCCAGACCTGCAGGAGGCCCATATTCTGCTCTGGGGAGCTCAGATTGGGCCTCTCCCACATGACTCACCTGTTCCCAATCCAGGGCCTTGGCCACCTTTAGCTCCCCCTTCTTGGGGTGGATGGTGAAGTGCCCGAGCTGGTTCCCTCCTACCAGGCTGTAGGTGATGGCGCTATTTACAGGTCCATCTTCATCAGTTGCTGACACCTGCAGCAGCAGGAAGGTGGTTGTGAATGGAGAGGCAAGGGGGAGTCAGAAAGGAATCTTGGCCCCTGGGAGTGTAGAGGGCACAGGTATGTCCCTACCCCAGTGAATGCCTTTGGGCTGGCAGTCTCCGTACCACAGTCATCCCTTTATTTACCTCCTAGTATGGACTTGAGCATGCCATGTTTCCTTCATGTATCCATCCATTCATGCATTTACTCACTCACTCATAGTGACAGGGTGCTAGGTCCCATGCTAGGAGGTGACGAATGTGCTAAAATGAATATGCTTGCAGGAAGCTTAATGTCTAATTTTACGGGTAATTCTAATTTGGGGCAAAGTATGACCAGCTGTGTGAGAGCACAGAGAACACAGTGATAAATTCCACATGGAGAGATTAGAAAAGGATTCACAGAGGAGAAGGAGGCCTTTTGGGAGTGGAAGCGGCATTCCAGGCATGTGCCAGAGCGCATGGACAAGCAGAGGACGTTTGGGGAAAGGCACATTGTCCTGTGTGGTTGGAGTGTAGGGTGCGTGTGGGGGAGTGGAGGGAGATAAGACTGGAAGGCAAAATGAAGAGGGGTCATAGAGAACCCTGAATGTGGGCATGCGGAGTTTGGCTTTGCTCCATGCAGTAGGGAGCAATTACACATTGAAATACAAAGAGGTGTTATTTGGTGTACCCTCTGCCCCCTGCCCCCATGCACTGACACTCCATGTCACACACTGGGACCAGGCCC